TCCCTTTTACCTCTTTATGCCCACCTATTTTCGATCACTAGTCTAGGCACTTATCCTTCTCTTGGCATCTAAAGCATTGTATCTGGGCTGGTGATGGTCAAGTAGGCTATCTGGATCAGAATGAATTAGCCTTACTGGGGTAAACAAAATCGAGAATTTCTTGTAGGGTTTTCTGTGACCCAGAGGGCAGCAGAAGTATGTTGCCTTTTGGTTATATCTCTTCCTTCATCTATTCAACATTTATTGAGTTTGAACTCTTTAAAAGGATGTTGTGTTAAACCCTAGCGGTACAGAGATAAGTAAAACAAATCCATGTATTTAATGAACGAATAGAAGTGGGGCTGACAGGCACATACAGAGATAGGTATAAGATAGTAACTATTTGTCAAACTAGGGTGGGTTTACTCTGGGGTGGTAGTAAAGCACCAGATGCTATAAGATAACTTGATGCATCTTGTTGTTATTCAATTTTATAAAGTGCTGTATAATTTGATGCACTTTAATTTTATAATATAGCTGGATATTATCAAGTGCGATGCAGAAAAATCACTTGAACTTTTGTTCCTGAGAATAATTCCTTCCAGCTGTGTCCCAGACTAATTTTTCTTCTGGGAGAGTATGGTATTAATAGTAAGCCTATTGATAAGGGATGTAACTAGGATGCTGAAGAAGAGAAAGGAGGGTATTCTACTAGGTTTTAGAATAATATCTAGTATATTGACAAACTCTGTGACTAACTTAGCTTGTTCATCTTGTCATATTACTTGCTCATTTTCTAACTACCATTTATTTTTTTTCCAAAGCTATTTCTAAAACCCAAAATGTTCTTCTTCTGCATATCTATCAACCTATCTTTTATCTTTAATAACCTTCCCAGATTCTTTCCTTCTTGACTTGCTTTATTTGAACTTGCTGGTTTTTTTTCTTTTCTTTCTTTTTTTTTTTTTTTTAAGCTACTGAGCAAGAAAAGAACTTGCTGATTTTTTAAACAGCTAAACCTTGCATGTGTATTTCCTTGTAATGTTAACTCATTTATAGCCTACTTAGGGAAAAAGGAAATTTCTCCATGTTGGGTTCTTAGTCTATTGTATTTGCATATCTACATTATACTTCTCCCTTATAATAAGAATGAAACTAAAACATTTAGTATGTAGGATGTAGGACATGTTGATGTAGGACATTTTCAGTCAGATATGAAACATATCTTGTGATAGTGTGGTAATCCTACCCTTGTTATGGTTGTAAGATGTGATGATATTATTTCTGGACCACTGTGCCAGTCACTTGTTCAGCAGATATTTGAGCAGTATCTCAATATGATGTGTCAGGCATTTACTCCAATCTTTAGGGCCCTGTGCTGTGCCAAAGACCACTGCTACTTTGATTCCCAGTACCTTCCTCCTTTTTACTTATCTTGAAAGTAACATGTGAGATGAGAAAGTAGTTGATAATCAGAACAATAAAATCCTGGTGGATGTAGGTTTTTATTTTTGTGTTATTTTGTTTTTGATAAGGTGAAGGAGGGTAAGTAGATAAAAAATTCAGCTTCAGTTTATAAAGCTGAAGTAAATTTGTAGTAATTTGGATACAGAATAAAAGAGGTGTATTCTCTGTAGGAATGATCTTTATAAATTTCCCTTGTAATTTCTTAGAAATCATTTTTTTCTGATTGTTAGAAGTAAAGTTTATTTGCTAAAGAAACCTGAATTAGAGACATCTACAAAGAAAACATTTCCTATAATTATATGACACAGAGGAAAATACTGTTAACATTGTGGCAAATGTCTTTTTCAGTTTATTTTAAATGTGCACATATACAATACATTAAAACAGAAATGGGATTATGTTGTATCTACTGTGTTATAGATTGTCGTTTTTATTCAGCAATA